GGAGGAATAAATCCTACTGTGTTTTTAATGGATAAAGTTGTGACATTAAGAAATAGAGTACCTGAGAGTAGACTTGCATTAGCTGCTAGTACCATTTGGTCTGCAATTGATTTGGTCTTGGAATAATGGTCAATATGCTAGACAGAGAGAGAACAATTATGATTTTTTAAATTTAATTACATCAGCACAATCTGTAAATGACAAAATGAACAAGTACCTTTGTCTGATTTGTTCCTTGCTATCAATAAATATTTTCTCAAAATTAAGAAGTTGTAAGATAATTGTTTAGAGTAAAATGTCAAAAATTATTTTTTATGGGAAGTTAGCATTTTTGTCTATATAAATTTGGATTTCCAGTTACTGATTGTAGCCCATTTGTAGACTTTTTTTAGACTTTTAACAATATACAAATATTTCTTAATGGTGATTAGAATATAATTGATTACATTTTGTTTTTTTAATTTATTTCTAGGGTAAAAGAAAAGACACAGAAGCAAAATATTGAAGAGTGAATGATTAGGTATGAATTTTGGTGACTGCTTTTCCTGCAGTGCAAATTTAGTTTAATACAGATATGTTTTTTCCAGTTATCTAGAAACATGTTATTAAAAATATTTTTGTCTGAAATTTTATGGTAGCTAGATATTTCAGTATATATAGTAAAGTATTCCAGTACTGTATTTTAGTATATATAATAAAATACTGTCATTAAAAGAGGAAGATGGGAAAACTGGAAAAAAATCACATGAATTGATAATGAGCACATTCTTCTTAGAGGCAACAATTTCACATCAAATGAGTAGATGTTCAATATCAGTATTGTGTTTAAATAGAAATTGTCTTTGACAAGAGTCAAGGCACACAAGAGGTGTTTAAGTAATGATGAACATACATGCTCATTTGGGTCCCAGTCTACAAGTGGTTCTTTATATGCAGGTAGAACTGAATTGCATAAACTCTCACTGGACTTTGCATAAGCATAAAAGCCTACACAGAATTTATTTTTTAGATCAGGGCCTTGATAGTCGGCAAATTAATATAAACAAACAATTACAGTACTTAAAATAAAGATGCACTATGGTTTGAAGTAGTGCCTATAAAACTATAAAAAAAAGTTTACTTTTGTTTCCATTTTTTTCCAGCAGCAATAGAGTAAATCAATAAAAAGAGAAGAGTAATGCAGACAAAAATACCTTTTCTAGTGGGAAATATGGCACAGTTTCCTCATCACCTTCTTCAATGTGATTCCCTCCAAACACCACATTTATTGTACTAGTATATACCAATCTCGGGACATTTCTTTGTTTGCAAACTGCAGCGATATGCAAAGTAAATTAATTTAATTACAACTGGAAGAATGTAGAAATAAGCAGTTTCTATAAGCTGTGAGCTTTTTCTCAAGCAAATAGCACACATTAAAAAGAGTCCTTTCATTTTAGGATTCTTTTTGACTTGCTGATCACGTTTTTCATGTCAAATACACCTTGCATTCCAAATAATCCCAAAACATTTTATAATCTTGCACTGTATTCTTACCAGGTACCTATGCCTGTTACTGAATGTTAGTTTTGTGGAGGGCTGGAATTAGTCTGTAAAGCCAGTGCTAAGAGAGAAACAGCAGAACTGCTCTAAGGACTGCCCATGTATATTAGGGCTCTGTGAAGCTTCAGCCCCTGATTCAATTCAGTGGAGATTTGGCCTGATGCAGTAGCCAATCTCTGAATCCAGATAGAATCAGAGGACCCTTTAATTTCTCCAAATTGAATCGGAACCCACTGAATTGATTCAGAAAGATTTGGGCATTGAGACAGCTTTAAACATTTTTTTCTACATACTTCTAGGTAGCAGGGGCTCATGAATGTTGTGATGCTGGGGCACATGGAGTGTCCCACAGAAGCATGGGGGCCTCCTGGGTTGCCAAGCCAGTGGGTACGGGGGAACCCCCTGCATGCTCCCCAGTGGGCCCAAAAGTGGACTGAAAGTGCTTCTGGTCCACTTCCAGGTCTGCTGCTGAGCACGCTGGGGGAGCCTCCCATGCTTCTGTGGGTCTCTTTGCGGTCAAATGCCAAGCTGGGGTTGGGGGGTCACCGGCGCACTCCCCCACAGTGGACCAGAAGTACTTCCAGTCCACTTCCGGGTTTCCTGCTGAGCATGTTGAGGGCCCCCCACATATTGCTGTGGGATGCTCCATGCACCCCAGCATCACAGTGATCACAAGCCACACCTGTTACCTCAAGATATGTAGAAAAAACTTTTAAAGCTGTGTCTCTGTGTCCGAATCACTGATTCACCAAATCAGCATTGACTCTTCAGATTTGGATTCAGCTGAATTGAATCAGGGACAGTGATCCAATTCAACAAATCGAATCACTGTCCCTGATTCAGGCCGAATCCGAATTGAATAGGGCCCGCTTCACACACCCCAATGTATATTCACAAGTGAGTAGGGTTATAGTAGGTAGAAAGGCAGGGTAGAGCTGCACCTTTATAGACTGACTAAATCAGAAATGTATGGCATTAAACTTTCATAAGCAGAGGGCTTACTTCATCAAATACTATGACAGGATTTTAGGAAGCAGAGCTGCTAAATAGAAAGCAGTGATTAAACTACAAAGGATAGGGAAGGGGGGAGGAAGAAAGGGAAGGCAATGCTAAGAAGGTAGAGCGACTGTCAAAACAATAGCCATGAACATATTTAATTTCTTAAATGGAGGCAGATTCTGACATAGGTTAAACATGTTTATGAGACGCTCTAGCCAGGCAGCAACCAAGGTATAGGGTCTGTTACTCCTTGTTTCTGGCCTTCCTGTGACTCTGAGAAGACACGACCTTCCTAAAGGGATGCTAAGAGATGTTCAGAGGCAGGTCTCACAGATCAAGGTACATGATAGATGTGTCTTTGCTCAGCGTGTGGCCTCAAAGACCTTCCATCACTCAGTTTGTGGAAACTTCTCAACACGAAGGAGAAAGAAGCCAAACTCATCAGCGACATATATTTCTGAGAGAACCTTGTCTTCCTTCACTCCATTTGCTTTTAACAGGAATGATCTTCAGGGAGTAGAGCTAGCTGTATACAGGGCCTAAAGGAGGCAGAACAAGAGTACAAGCCAATTCGGTTTTGCAGGGTAAATGTCATTATATTTGAAAGGGAAAAAAGAAGAGTGAGACCTCAGGCATAATGTATACAATGTCGTTTGAAAAGCCATAGCTGTGAATGAGTGACTCAGAATATAATTTATTGTTTCCTGAGGTTGCTGCTGAAATATTACAATTTATGAAATACAAAAGTGTATTTGATTGTGTGAGGGTTTGGGAGGCACAAAGGAAAAGAAAAGGGATATTTTTTTCCTTTTCCCTGCTGCTGTCTTAAAAGGATAAAGAGATAATAATAATAATCCTTGTGTTCATAGAGCACTTTCTATATGTTATAATTGTTATATACTTCAAGGATTTTTATGTGCTATAGGAAGGTATTATTACACTAATTTAATTTATAAGGAAAAGAACTGAGTTTAATATGATGGTTCTGTTGTGGACCAATGCTGGTGACGTTGTGAAGGCTGTTCAGGGATGTCATAGGGTGCTACTGGTGCAGGGATAGGGGCTCTATTAGAATATCCACCTTTATATGTAGGAGGGGGTGAAGGAGACAGCAGGACAGAGACACCTTAAGCTCAAGTGCCTTTGTTTCCTCCTACTTGCCCCTGCAGAGCTCTCCAGCATCCAACCCAGTTGCCCAGGCTACATGCTGTGAGAACATTCCACATGTGGAAGAGTGAGGCATAATATCTAGGGGTCCTGATTCCTAACCCTATGCAAAAAAAAAAAAGAAAGAAAGAAAAAAGTGGGGAGGGTCATTTTCTATATAAAAATATATAGCAAAACTAGTTTAAAGAATGCCTTGCATTTGAAAGCTTGTCTAACTTCATCCCAGACAAGCAGTTGGTCTAATAAAATATATCTCCCCCTAAAATCTTTTCCTCTTACCAAATAGAATGTTACCTTGTTGTACCAATACACAAATACAGGTTCAGATACATACCATCAATGATGAATTTTGTTCCACCAATATTTATGGATTCAATCTGTTTTCTTTGTAGCTATAAAAATATAAATATTTCACAGTATCTGAATCACGTCATACTTTACATTCACTAGATGACTGTTGTAAATGTCAAAAACTGAATAGCAACATCTGTTTGCTTTCCCCTCCTGCTCCCCACACATCCCTTGTTCTGTTTGCTCTCTGAGATTTCACAAAGTAAGGCTGTTTTTTTGCAAAATACACTCTTATTTTTATTATCATTATAAAAGCTGATGAACATGAAGAAAAATGAGTGGTGGTGTTTTTGATAACAGATCCTTGGTAACTTTATATATTTTTAACGTACATGTCTTAGTAGTGTCCAGAAGAATTCAGTGATTTTTTTTTGCAGATCAGTCACAAAAATAATTTGACAATCTAGCTGTGATAATTACCATTATTTTAACTGATGTGCTTTATTTCATTAAGGAGTTATTTCTTTTAAATATTTTAACATTTAATTTTTAACAGCTATCTACCACAAAAAAGTGATGTTAATTTTGACCACAGTTTACCAACTAATTGTGGAGAATTTAAATGAAACAGTTGTTGTAGTAATTTAATACAGGCTTCAGTTCGATGAAAAAGATCATAGCGGGAGTATTTGTGTATATATAAACTGGGGCATGTGTAGTTTCAGGGGAAGTTTCAGGGATTGTGGAGTAAGACTCAAATATAGTTATAATATGTGCTGTACTGAGGTGTTATAGCAGTATATAGTAGTATAGCAGGTAAGGTGTCTTACTGCAGCTCCAGAGGCATGACTTCAAGGCCTGCTCTGAATGCATGGCAAAGGCTATCCCCAGTCCACTCAGCTGTAAATGAGGAGCTGGTCATTTAGGCTGGAAAGTCACAGATGACCAGATGTGATGTTACCAATGTTGCTCCCTTGTGTGCTTTTGGCTATAGAAACTGGCATACCATTACCATGCTAGCCCAATAGGTCTGAATAGACCTCTGACTTTGATCTACTCTGTGGGACCAGGATTTAGATGAATAGGATTCTCACGTGTGTTCTGTAGGCTTAAATTCATCACACTTTCACTAAAGGGAGAAACTGAGGAAGAAAGAGGTGAAGTGACTTGTCCAAAGTCATGCACTGAATAAACAGGTGGCAGAATTAGGAACTTAACCATACTCTCCTGTCTCTCAATCCTGTTTTCTAATCACTATACAGCTCTATATCCACCCTTCCTAGTTAAAGATCCTTTGGAGGCTGTGATCGGAGACTCTGATAATGAAATCAGTTTCCCATCACCAGTAATATGCTATTACATGCAGAGATTCAGTATAATAAAATTTTTGGCACAGAAATTCACTGAGATGATTTGAGAATGTAATTGCATAGTATTAGTATAAGTAAGGTTTCAGTATATCTGAGTTTACTGCTCACTAATCTTCCTTTTCTGGGAATTTGTTGAGAAGACTGTGGCAAGACAACTCTATAGCCAACTGGAATCCTTAGATTTCTTTGACCTTTTTCAATCATTTGCATACTTATGTATGGCATTGGTCTTGCAGTTTGATGACCTACAAGTGTTGGAACAAGGTCAGATGTGCTGATACATTTAGATTTGAGAACAACCTTTAATATTGTTTAGCAGCAAGTGTTGTTAACTCACCTTCAGACCTTAGTTGGAAGGATGGTATTCTCGAGTGGGTTCATTCCTACCTCTCTGGAAGGTTGCAAAGGGAAGTATTAGACAATTGCGGTCCCAATGGACCATTTATGTAGGGATCTGCAAGGTTCAGCTTTGCTACAGTTTCTTTTCAATGTCTGGGAGAATGCAAAACAAGTTTAAGATACACTGTCACCCATATGTAGATGACACCCTGCTTTCTGGCTTTTTTCCTCAGAACTGGACTTGGATTTCCTAGTGTGTGGCTGATGTTGGGACATGGGTGAGATAAGCAAGTGAAATTCAGTCTCAAAAGCACGAAAAGGGGTGGGTTATGAGCAGAAAACTGACATACCTGATGAGACGGACTTAAGAAAATAGCCTGGTTACTGGGAGGCCTGTGCACTGGGATGAGTTTACCTCTAATGTTTAATGACCCCTTTTGATTTTCATGATCTGAAACATTACCTTCATTTTAAAGTGTGTGTGTGTTTCTTATTTTAAACCAAAAGTATAAAGAAAAAAAACAAGAACAGAAATTCTTTTCATTATGGCTCTCAGAATATCTAAAAAGAAAGAAATCTAACACATCATGTTCTGACAACTAGACTCAGGTCATTGCTTAATCTTATGAAAATTCATGTAGAAGAACATAAGAAAGTTATACTCACTTGCTCTAGTCCTGACATTCCATAGGATGCTATGTGAAACACACAGTCAGCCCCCTCACAAGCTGCAAATAGGGCATCATAATTTCTCACATCTGCCTGTAAAACACATGAAAAGATATTTTATAGTTGCTTTCAAAACTGTAGTTTAGAATTTGCTGTTTGGTGCTAATTGCACAGAGTATTTATGAACTTAGTTGTGCATAACCTTGTGGAGGCCAAGGGATGAAAATCACGCCCCTTGTAAAGAGCTTTCTTTCAAGGGACTTAAAAAACACTGAATTCTTTAAGCCTCAGGATACTGCTGTAAAATAGGAAAGTAGTATCATAATCATTTGACCAGGGAACAGGCAGGTGAAGTGACTTGTTCAAAGTTTCAAGAAGAAATGTTTAAAGTTAGGAGTGGACTGCAGGAATCCTTGGTTCTAACCACCAGATTTCACTTAATTACTTCCCCCTGTTTAGCTCAGATACTTTTTATACAGTCCGATTGATGAGAAAGCTATAAAAATGATGGGAGAACCTTACTTTTATAAGATCCTGTACATTATATATGATTGGGTAGATTATATGAAAATTGTGTTCCTGAGATAGATTCACTTAATTTCAAACAGAGCAATTTAATTTTATAGTTGTGAAAACACATTTTTGATCATACCTGAATAAACGCTGCTCCATTAGGAACTTCCGAAGGAGGTTTTTGTATATCATACAGGATAACTGAGGCTCCTGATTTGGCAAGAGCACAACCCAGACTGTATCCAAAGTAGCCTCCGCCTCCTGTCACTACTGCCTTCATGCTTCTTTTACTTAGAGCTCCAGCATGTCCATTCAGATTATAAGTAGATGTTTGGCGCCAAGGGGGTACTACCCCATTAGATATATATTTCGTGTCATGCCTACAAAATGAGAGACGATTTTCTATCACCAGACACACAACACAATTTCTTTCCCATGCTGAAAATTGCTCCATAGTGCTCTGGGGTGCAGATAATTCCATTAAGTTTCATATTAAAAAGCTCCATTCAGGGCTGCAAAGTTTTCCTTTAACCTGTTCAAAAGATAAATCATAATATTAGCTTCAGATTTCCAAACAAGACTAAAAAGGCTCACTTCTTAGGGTTTTTGATTTTTGAATTTGTTTTCGTTCTATGTTTCTCTTAAACATAAAAAATGTTCATGTTTGGTCAACAGTACATGCTGTCATTGTATTTGAGAAATTTAAGTTTTTGGTGTACATTTTCTTTATTAAAGATAGCAACCTCAATACACCTAAATATCTTTGCATATATTGGACTGGTCATTTCTAGATAGCAACCTGCAGCATGAGAGGGGAAAATACGTTTTTATAAAGAACATAAGAAATGTCCACATTTCATGGGTGCACTGATGTGTTCTGCATGCTAGCTTAAAATAGAATAACACTTGGTAGCAAAATTTATTATGACATAAATTAATTGTTTGGTTTCCTGATGGCTTCAGTTTAGTTCTTGGTCTTATATGTCTGCTTTTGAAGCTCAAATAGCCTGTCACCCAAGGATTTGGGAATCCTGGACTGCCAGGGTCATATTTAAAGGAACAAAAATGTTTAATTTTTACAGAATGTAAAGAAGACGACAGAACTTTGCCTAAATCAATTAGTAATACCTACCTAATCTCTCTGACACACACTCAGAACAATTTGAAAAAAAGAGTTTGGTTTTGCCCCACATTACAAACAATAAAAAAAGAAAAATCAGCAGCTGAATAAACACTGAAAATGTGTTCATGCTTTAAACACTGGTGGTGGCTGGGACTGAGATATTATGAGGAAGCTTGCACTGCTGCTTCCTATTAAAAGACCATATTTTAGATCAGTGGTTTTCAGCTTCTTTGATTCCACAAAGCGCTGTGAGATATCACAGTAGCTTGGAGAACTGGAACAGGTACAACTGCAACCTAAACTGGTCTAGCCAGATTGGAAGGGGTATAGTGTAACCGCATTAGTGCAGTGGTTAAGGTAGGCTAACTGATTTGGGTACAGCACTGTGGGAACGTGGTTGCACTGTTTCTGTGCATAGGATGGCCTGCACAGAAGTGGCTCAGCTACCTGCCTGGCACTACATATGGTGACACTGGTGCCATGCAGAGGTATTCCACACAGCTTTGCTTGTACTACTGCTGGACCCAGAAGCAATGCAAACATGTACACCATTAATTAGCCTACCTACAAATTCTGCACTAACTTTGCTTCTGGTTCAAGACAGAGCATGCGTGATGCAGCATGGCAGCTCACTATGATGCTGCCTGGCACTGTGGCAGTGTTTTGGGGGAAGGGCATGCCAACCTCACTAACCACTCCCTTTTATTTGCCCTTGTGGCCCACCACTAGAAGGTTCTGATGTCCACTGGTAGGTTGTGGGCTGTTGTAGATAATGCAAGACAAATCTGTCAATCTGTTGCTTCTCAGGGCAACTAAAAATATTACTGCAGAGAGAGGGAGTGAAAAATATATCAATATATTGATTAAGAAAGTAAAATAATAAATCATTCTGATGAAATAAGATTGTATTTTCTGTTCTATAAGTAAATGGTATTGAGTAGCTGATGTCTGTACATGTTTAAAACATCAAACCACTATATGGATTCTAAGCAGTTATGATTATTATGGTGATTATTATTGAGGCGATCCATTTAATTTCACTCTATATTTATAGAACATTAATGTTTTATATTATTTAGAAGCTGGTGAGGAATCCCACTTGCAGATTAGTCATAAAAAGGATGCTACAATTAAAATCGTATGATCTCCTTTAAAATGTTAGAAACTTCTGTTGTCCTTGCCATCTGAGGATTTTAATGTATTGCACAAGGGTTAGTTAAAAAATCCTCATAACTTTACAGATAGGGATGTTACTGCTTTCTATATCAGAAGAAGCAGAGGCAGACAGGTGAAGTCATGTTATGAGGTCACAGTGAATGGAAGAGGAGGGAGTAAATTTCAGAACTTCTCATCAGCAATCCTAGGTCCTAATTATTAGAAAACACTCACTTTCCATATATCATGTGTCATTTTTCTTAGAATCTGAGTTCTGAAATGTTCACGGGTGAGGCATATTGCCACAGAAGCAAAGTTTAGACTGATCTAAGGGTATATTTCTAGCAATAGGAGAGTTAAGCTGAGCAACATTACTAAGGTGAAAAGCAAAAAAGAGTTTTAAATAAAGCCTATTCGTTGTAGAACAGATTTACCAGGGAAGTTATGACAGCTTCATTGTTAAATCATTTAAATAAGGACTGGGTTGCGGTAGTTAAGAATGTATTACACAGAATGATCCTGCATTGCCAGGGGTGATGAACTGGAGAAGAGAGCCCTACATTTCCAATTGTAATTTCTATAATTTACTTTCTAAGTAGTCAAAAATAGTAGAGAAGCAAAGTTAACCAGAAACATTACATCGGCACATTAAAGCATTTGGACTGGATGCCTCTGAGGTCTAATTTCATCTGCCTTGTAGAATGTTACAGTTTAAAAGGCAAGTGTCGCTGGCAGTTGATGCAGTTACCTGGAATTCTGGGCCGGCTGCCCGGAGGGCTGAACACTTAAATGGATACACCGCCAAATAAAATAGTTAGTTATGACTTTTGCTTTAGTTGTGTCTCATTCGTTATCCACCAGGGTTTTATGAATAACTGGCTTTGGTCAATCTCTCTTGCTATTCAGTGTAACAGTAAACAACTGATTACAATTCAGGGAGAACAAGAGCTGCACACAGTTGTATACCCCTAGGACCTCTCACTAGGATATTTGCAGTACTTTTATATTTAAGAAATGGATGCAGAAAACTTTGACATTTTGTGTTTGCAGATTTCGCATCTGGAAAATGCTAAAATGAAAATGGTACTGAGATATTAGAAGAAGATAGAAAAAAAAAGACCAGACAAGACAAAACAATCCTTAGTCCCGTCCATCACCAGGGAAGGGCCACTAAACAACCTCTGGTTACCGGTCGTCATGCTCTTCAGCATCGTCTACTGACTCAAGTCACTTTTGTGCCTCCCGGGGGATGGCCTGGCACACCGGCCCTGACACTTTGCTGGGCCAGTTACACACGTCCAGGACGTGCGGTCTCTGACCTCAAGGCTGCAGCTTGGTTCCCCTGGTTTGAAAAACGCAGGTTGCCTGGGTGCGAAGAGCTGCCCCAAACACCCCTTTCTTTTCCCAGCCCCACAGACTTAAATGTATCCTGCAGGATCTTTCTCTCGCTCCAGGGAAGTGACCATCAGCTCCCGAGGGCATCCACCTGCCCCGGGCAAGGATAACTGATGCCCACTCTCAGGCGTGGGACCTAGTGCCTTCCGGCCCCTCTTCCCCTCCCTCCCTCCCTCCCTCCCGAGCATTTTGGCTGCCTATTTTGCAAGGACAAATAAAGCCCGGGTATTTTTGCAAACAGGAGGCGATACAGGAACAAAACAACCCCAAAAAAGTTAGAAAGTATCTGAGCGTGCCCAGGCACCATCAAGCCTTGGGGAGCGGCCGAGCAGCAGGGGCGATTACCCTGGGCAGGCTCCGAGGTGCGGGGGTCCCGGCTGCTCCTGGCCCCCTGCGGGGATGCTCCGCTCTCTTCTCTGGATGTTGACTGGCACAAAGCGTCCCCAGCAACGCATCGTCCCCAGACCAGCTCAGATCTTCGGGGTCTCCGCACGGCCCATGGCCCGGGAGCGGGCAGCGTCCGCCCGGGGCTGGCGAGCAAGGGACCGCGCGCACCGTGTGGCCGCTCCGCTTACCTACTTACCTACCGCCGCCGTATTGACGTCAGTGGCGGAGCACTCCATTTCTGCTCTCGGCTTCCGAAGAGAGAGGCGCTCGCCCCAGCTCCCGGCACAGGGAAGCGAGGCGCCAGCAGAAGGACTGCATTTGAGGCACCTGGGACTAGGAATATAGGATTGGTGTTTTTGTTTTGTTTTTTAATACCGTCATCATTTTCACGAGAGACTTATACCGTAGTGTCTGCAACAGAACTACACAGAGCTGTGCCCCACTCTGGAGAAGCGATCTTTGGAAAGCCCCCCCAAGTGATTGCCATGCGGTTATCACTAGGAACGGCCCCAAAACCGTGCGAAATATTTCTGAAACACAGCAAGCACAACCCGTAATTTCAGGAGCAACAGAAAATAAGCAGAGAAATAGGCACTTCAAAGATATTCAGTGCCAGTGAGTTTGTTATGCATCCATTTAAAATCATACATATGTAAACGAAAGTCTAATCGGTATCTGAATTTCCAGTGCTTTGTAAAGACAACGAGCAATCTGTGCAGAACTCTTTTCCGTAAAACAAAAAGCAAGGTCTTTTGAGATTGATTTTCAGTTCATCGCATGTTGTGTAAATGTATTCTCATCTTTAGTATCATCACCCTGGCAGCACTGCACCTATTTTTTTATGGTAAAGTTTTAATAATTTTCAAAATGTAGCTATGATGTACTTAGGGTGCCAGTACTCCTGCTGATAGTAAATCGTGGGCAAAGGTTTCAACTCAGTAAAGAGTATCAGAGTACAACAATTAGGCAATTGCTCATCTAAATCGGAAGCTAAAACCAACCCTCTCTTTTTAAATAGTGTATATTGATTAAAAAGAAATGGAAATTAACTGAGGCTATTGTTAAGTATGTTGCTAAACTTCTGTATGTAGAAAGGTGTTTTGCTTGCAAAATGCTAAAAATGAAGATCAGGCATTTCACCTGGCAGTTCTCATAGTTTCCAACCTTTTGTAATAACTGGATTAATAACTATAACAGGAACACATTAACATAAAACAATAACCATTGCATAAACCACCTCTGTTCGCAAAGAGGGATTAACATGTCTGAAGTTATATTGCATAATTTTCTGCTCCTATATTTCTTAAGAGACAGAACAAGTTTGCCTGTGTTATCTGAGGTAGCATTGTTTTTTAAGTGGCTATTGCACACCTTGTTATGGGACTATTTTTATTAATAACGAATGATATATAATATTGTTCTGTTGTTGTTTCAGCAAAGCAGTTAGTTGTCCTAAGGAGGCAATGTGAATTAGAAAGCATGCTGAAGGACCTTCTGTTAATTTTTGTTGCTCCTAAAGCCCTGAGAGGAAAGAGAAAAAGGTATTTGCTTGATGGATGAAACCAAGTGACGAGGCTCTCCTAGTGACCCATGTTGTTAACAGGTGTTAGAACTGCTGCTGAATCATCATGACAGGTTCAGGTCCAGTGGTAGAAATTACTTTCTGGTGAGTGACATCCTAGAGGCAGTTAAGTTTGTGTGGGAAAAGTAATTGGAAATTCATATTTTGTTGTTTTTTGAATTTCCAATAAAGCCAAATCCTAGAAAGGGGATACCAGTTACTCAGGGTTGTGTACTCTGTTTACGACCATGTAGGGACTTCATGCTGGGCGGTTCCTTGAAGTTAATTTAGCTCTTAGTACTGGGTACAGTTTTGTGGAGTCTTTGTAGGTAGCAAATAGGTTTAGTTCCTTTACAAGGAAAAGCTGAAGGAATAGTTGTCCTTTAGGGAACAATAAGTGAAACCAAACTTTCTCTTTCCAG